TTAAACTGCAAAGAGCGACAAGAAGAGATCTTTTCGTTTTAAGTTCTGTCTTTACCTCGGGCGAAGGGTATCATTCATCATTTCTGAAGTCTAATGGGTATTCTAACTTAATTACTAAGATTCCAAAATATAGAACTTGACTAATCGCAAAATATACTGTGCCGATAAACATTCATGCTATGGAAAATAATCATAATTACTTGACTCAAAATATAAATGGAAGATAAATGACAAAATAACAAAATAAAGATAATGATAACAATAATGACGATAGTAATGATGTGGGAAAAAATGATGTCATTTGCTACTACTCTATAGAACGAGAATGAAAATTTCAATAATAATGAAAAAGAAAAAATAATCATTATTATCAATGACATTTCCAGCCTCCCAGTAGCAGACCATCCCAGGACTTTCCTAAGAGCACCCAGTACCCTTGACTTGGTAATAATGCATTATATCCATTCAAAACCTCTCCGTGACTAGTAAATTAACCAAATAAACCAGTATATGGCACTGACCGATACTTCCTGTGAAGATTTGGAACAGGTAAATCGTAAATTGAAGAAGTTCCAAATTGTAGTGGGAAAGTTTATTGTGGGTAATAAAAGGAATAGTTTTTCAAAGGGCAGACGAAGGGAAATTAAAGGCTATTCGCAAAGGATAGGAGAGAGAGAGAGAGAGAGAGAGACGAGAGAGAGAGAGAGATGAGAGAGAGAGAGAGAGAGAGAGAGAGAGAGAGAGAGAGAGAGAGAGAGAGAGAGAGGGGGGGGGAGGAAGGGAGAGAGAGAGAGAGAGATTGGCGAGTCTTGGATCCCTGCCTTTTAAGACTAAGCACATTGATGCGCAAATGCTTTAAGAGATTAGTGTTGTTAAAATGTATCTACTTCCTAAATACAATTTTAAACGTAGCTGGAAAAGTAAGCTGCTTTAGTAACAGTATGGTGACAATGATAATAATGGTGATACATGACAAAATGTTTCTTTTTGTTTTGTTTTTTTACGCAACACTCGTCCGCTCTCTCTCTCTCTCTCTCTCTCTCTCTCTCTCTCCTCTCTCTCTCTCTCTCTCTCTCTCTCTCTCTCTCTCTCTCTCTCTCTCTCTCTCTCTCTCTTCTCCTCTTTCTCTCTTCTCTCATTTCTTCTCTTTCTCTCTTTCTCTCTCTATCTATCTGTCTGTCTATCTATCTTCCGTCTCCTCCCATTTTTCCTCCCTTCTTTCCTTCCTCCTACATTCCCCCTTTCTTTTCTCTTTCTCTCATTTCCTCCTCCTTTTCCCTTCCTTTCTTGGACTTTCTCCAGTTCCCTTCTTTCCTCCCTCCCTCCTTCCCCCCTTCCTTTTCTCCCTCCCTCCTTTCCCCTTCTTTCCTCCCTTCCTCCCTTCCTCTCCTCCTTCCCTCCTTCCCCCTTCTTTCCTCCCTTCCTCCTCTCTCCTCCTCTCCTCCTTCCCTCCTTCCCCCTCCTTTCCCCTTCCTCTCCTCCTCCTCCCTCCCTCCTCTCCTCCTCTGCTCCTTCCCTCCTTCCTTTCCTCCCTCCCCCTTCTCTTCCTACCTCCATCCTTTTCCTTCCCTTCTTTTCCTCCCTCCTTCCTTTTCCTCTCCCTCTTTTACCTTCCTTTTCGCACTCCTTCCCACAGGAACGCCCAGAAGGTGTGGACTCCGTGGCCGGTCAAGGCTCCGAGAGTGAAGTTTCTCTAGCCGATAATTGGTGACTTGAGGCAAAGCGGCTGAGAGGAAGTGAAGAGCGAGTGGGGCGAGCGGGACGATGGTAGTGCGGGGGTGAGGTGAATGAGTAAGTGCGGGGATGAGTGAGTGGATGGGTGAGTGAGTGAATGAGTGGGCGCAGTGGACGATAGTGAGTGTACGAGACGAGTGGTATGAGTGAGTGGCGTGGCGTGCGTGAATGAGTAGCGTGCACGCCCTAGTGAACGATTCGTGTACGACGTGGGCGAGTGGACGACGTGACGTGGTGTGGCATGAGGTACTTAGTGCGGATTGAGTGGCATTTGTGGCGTGTAGTGGGTTGGCGTGATGAATGACAGTGGGATGAATGGGAGTGATGTGAATGAGCTTGCCGGGCGAGTGGACGAGGAGTGGAGTGGCCGTGCAGTGAATGAGTGGACGAGTGGGGCGAGTGGATGATGTGAAAACAAGTGGTCATGAGGTGGACCGAGTGGACGTGGGTGGATGACGTGAACGATGGCTACTGAGTTGGGTGCGAGTGGACGAGTGACGGCTTGGGTGGTGGTGACGTGATGTGAAGTTGGGTGGCTGTGCGTTGAATGCAGTGGATGAGTGCGGTGCGATCGGGACGATGTTGTGAGTGGTCGATGGATGAGTGCGGCGGCGGTGACGTGTGAACGAGTGGATGAGTGGGGCGAGTGGACGAGTGACGTGGGCGTGGGTGAGCTGAACGGTAGATAAGTGAACAGTGGATGATGGACGAGTAGATAGTGAACGAGTGGGTGAGTGAACGAGTGAACGAGTGGACGAGTGAGTAGGTGGATGAGTGAACGAGTGGATGAGTAGGTGAGTGGGTTGAGTGGACAAATGGGTGAGTTGACGACTAGACGAGTGGGCGAGTGGTGCTTTGAGTGTGTGTCACAAACAAACACCAATGAAAAGATTCAAGCGGATAGTTTCACGCCAATCAACCTTCTCTCCCTCTCAGCATATTATCCTCATATCTCATGATTTTTTATTCATCGTCTTTATATTCAAGAAAAGTTTATTAAGACTTTTCCATTTCTTTCTCTCTCCAAATTATGCGAACCTTTGCAACTGAACGTCCACGCAAAATCATATTTCCATCCCCGTTCTTGTGAAGAGGTATATATTTGTATATATATTTGTCTGTCTGATCTGTCTATTTACACTCATCTCTCTCTCTCTCTCTCTCTACTCTCTCTCTCTCTCTCTCTCTCTCTCTCTCTTCTCTCTCGCTCATCTTCTCCTCTCTCTCTCTCTCTCTCTTTCTCTCTCTTTCTCTGTCTGTCTGTGTCTGTCTCTCACTTCACTTACTCTCTCTCTCTCCTCCTCCTCTTCTCTTTCTTTCTCTGTCTGTCTGTCTGTCTTCACTCACTTACTCCCTCACTCACCACTCATTTCACTCACTCTCTCTTCTCTCTTTCTCTCTCTCTCTTCTCTCTCTCTCCTCTCCTCGTCTCTCTTCTCTCTTCTCTTCTCTCCTTCTCTCTCTCTCTCTCTCTCTCTCTCTCTCTTTTTTCATCTCTCTCTTCCTCTCTCTCTCTCTCTCTCTCTCTCTCTCTCTCTCTCTCTCTCTCTCTCTCTCTCTCTCTCTCTCTCTCTCCTCTCCTTCTCTCTCTCTCTCTCTCTCTCTCGTCTCTCTTCTCTCTTGTCTCTCCTTCTCTCTCTCTCTCTCTCTCTCTCTTTCTCCTACTCTCTACTCTCTCCTCTCTCTACTCTTTCTCTCTCTCTCCTCTCTCTCTCTCTCTCTCTTCTCTTCTCTCTCTCTCTCCTCTCTTCTCCCCTCTCTCTCTCTCTCTTTTTCTCTCTCTCTTTCCTCTTCTCTCTCTCTCCTCTCCTCTCTCTCTCCGTCCTCTTTCCTCTCTCTCTCTCTCTCGTTATACTTCTCTCTCTCTCTCTCTCTCTCTCTCTCTCTCTCTCTCTCTCTCCCTCCCTCCTCCTCCTCCCTCCCTCTCCTCCTTCTCTATTCGATACTTCCTTGCGAGAGTTTTCTTAAAGATTGGAGACCCTATGGCCACGTTTTGTCGTTCGAAGTGGCTCAGTCGACGGCTGGGGACGAGCACGTGTTATCCGGGAGCTGTGGTTATTATCAGCTTTCTAATGGTAAATGCCAGCCGCGGAAATCTCATTACGCTAAAAGTGAGAATTTGTCGACGTTTTACAGCACTCATTTTCTAACCAGCGGCATTGAGGCACAACGTGGCGGGGTACATGATGTAAACTTGCATTTCTTTTTTCTGTCTGTCTGTCTGTTTCTGTCCTGTCTTCTTGTCTGACTGCTCTTCTGGCTGATTCTCTCTGTCTCTCTCTCTCGTCCCTCTCTGCAATCTCATCTCATCTCTGTTCTCTCTCTGCTCTCCTTCTCTCTCTCTCTCTCTCTCTCTCTCTCTCTCTCTCTCTCTCTCTACTTGTCTCGTGCTCTCGTCTTCTCTCTCTCTCTCTCTCTCTCTCTCGTCTTTCTCTCTCTCTATGTATCTACTATCTATCTGTCTAATCTCTCTCTCTCTTCCCCTTATATCCTCTCTGCTGTCTTGCTCATGCCTATCTACCTACATATCTCCTGTGTTATCTATCTATACTGTCATAGTCTGTACTATCTGACTCCATCTATCTATTTATCTATCTATCCATCTATCTATCTATTCACCCCAAAAACTAGTCTCTCTCTCTTCTCATTCTCTGCTCTCTCTCTCTCTCTGTGCTCTCTCTCTTCTTCTCTCTCTCTCTCTTCTCTCTCTCTCTCTCTCTCTCTACTCTCTTCTCTCCTCTCTCTTTCCTCTCTCTCTCTCTTTCTCACTCTCTCTATCTAACAATTAAGACACCCAACTTCACCGGAATAACCCTACCTAAAACATCACCACAATATCTCTCATCTATACATACTTAGTATTGGCTGAGCTCCCCCCCCCACACACACATCACACCGCCCCCCTCAGCCCCTCACAGAGAGGTAAAATTTCCTTCGGCCCTTCCGTCGAGTTATCGTAAGTCACACCCGGTCGCCGCCACTGTGTTGCAGCACTCACAGCTGACTAGGCACTCGGTGGCATCCGCTCTTGCACTGCTCAGGGTCTTTTCACTTGAACTGCAGTCCCGATTTTCGTTGAAACCGGGAGAGATGGAGAAAGAGAAAGATAGAGAGAGAAAGCCGGCGAGGAAAATGGATATCTGTGTTTTGTCGGCGTCACGGAAATATGCCAATTCTATATATCAGTGTGTANCACGCCCAACATCCCCACCCGAAACCTTACCTGTGTTCACAAAGGTCATGCCGCCGCCGTGGAACAGCAGCACTGGAGTCCCGGCGTCGCACGTGCTACCACAGAGAGACGCGCACTGATTTTAGACTTGCGCTCTCGTGGCTCCCTTCCGCCGCCGCCGCGCCTCGTCCCCCCCCCCCACCCCACCCCCGCCCCCCCCCCTTCGCCTCGCCCGCCGCGGCGCTGAAACCCCTACGAGCTGACTTTCTCCGTTCGTGGTCCCCCTGCCCCGCGTCGGCGATCGCTCCGGACCCGATTTCATTTTTTTTTTTTTTTTTTTTTTTTTTTTTTTTTTTGGATTTTTGTTGTTTATTCTTATTCTCGCCGTTTTGTTGTTGTTGTTGTTGTTTGTTGTTGTTTGAAATGGTCTATGTTATTCTTGTCGTTTGTTGTTGTTGTTATTATCATAGATTTTATTAGCGTCATTATTATCGTTATTATTATGTATATTGTCATTATCATCATCGTTATTATCATAGATATTTATTAGCGTCATTATTATCCTTATTAATTCATTATTATCATCGCTACTATCATAGATATTTACTATATCATTGTATTGTCGTTTTTTCATAAAACATTTCATCATTATGATTATAATTATTGTCGACAATGTTATCATTATTAGTATTCACATTATCAACATTACCTTCATCATCATTATCAATATTATTATCATTGTTACTGTGGTTGTTGTGTAATTATTATCATTATTATCGTTATTATTGTTGCTATCATTATTATCATTATTATCGTTATTATTGTTGCTATCATTATTACCATCATCACCCTTATTACCCTCATTATCATTAACATAATCACATTCTTATTATTACTATTCTTTCTTTTTCTTCTTTTTTTTCTTTCTGTCTATTTATCTATCTATTTATTTTTCTTTCTCTTCTTGTTATTTTTTTATTTCTCTAATCCGGCTCAACAAACAAGCTCTTATTTTCTCTGTTCGTCATTCTCATCATTTTCTTATTGGTTATTCGTCTTTCTCTTTCCTTTCTTCCCTTTCTACTTTTTCCTCCTTTTTTTGTCACTTCTTTTTCTTCTTCCTCCTCCTTTTTGTCACTTCTTTTTTCTGCTCCTTCCTCTCTTTCTTTTTTCTTCTTCTTCTTCTACTTCTCAGTATCTTCATCATTATCACCTCTCTTACTCTTATTGTGTTTCCATTCTCTTCTTTCTCTTCTCTTTTACTCCACTTCCACTTTTCTCTTAAAACATCTTATTCATGTTTCCTTCTGTTTCTCCCTTCCCTTGTTCTCTATAACTTCCTTCTACCTCTTTCTCTCTTTCTGTTTCTCCTTCCTATTTTTCTTCTTTTTTTATTTCTCTTCACCTTCTCCCTTCTCCTTCTCCTCTTTTCCCATTGCCTCCTATTTTTCGTTTCATTCTCTTACACCACCACCACACCATCACCGCCATCTCCCTTCCTCCTCCTCCTCCTCCTCCTCCTTCCTCCTCCTCCTCCTCCTCCTCCCTCCTCCTTCTCTTCTTCTTCTTCTTCTTCTTCTCTCTTCTCCTCCTCCTCCCCCTCCTCCTTCCCATCATTTTGCTTCTCATTCTCATTATCATCATCATCATTTTTTTTCTCTCCCCCCTCTTCCATCCCCTCTCGCTCTTTTGCTTCTCCACCTTCTCCTCTCTTTTCTCTCCTCCTCATTCTGCTACTCTTCCTGCTCCTCCTCCCTTCCTCCTTCTCTACCTCCCTTCCTCTTTCTCCTCTCCTCCTCCTTCCTCCTCCTCCTCCTTTTCCTCCTCGTCCTCCTCCCTCGTCCTTCTCTTCCTCCTCGTCCTCCTCTTTCCTCCTTCTTCCTCCTCCTCCTCCTTTTCCTCTCATCCTTTTTTCCCTCTCATCCTCCTCCCTTCCTCCCCTCCTCTCATCCCTTCCTCAACCTCCTCCTCCTCCTCCTCCTTTTTTCTCCTTCCCTCCTCCCTCCTCTCCTCCTCCCCCTCCCTCTCATCCCTTCCTCCACCTCCTCCCTCCTGCTCTCCTCCTCTCCTTTTCCTTTTCTCCTCCTCCTTTCCTTCTCCTCCTCTTCCTCCTCCTTTTCCTTCCTCCTCCTCCTCCTTCTCCTCCCCTCACCCCCTTCCTCCTCCTCCTCCTCTTCTTCTTCTTTTTCTCCTCCTCCTCCTCCTCCTCTTCTTCCTCTTTTTTCTCCTCCTCCTCCTCCTTTTCCTTCTCCCTCCTCCTCCCCCCTCCCTCTCATCCCTTCTCCACCTCCTCCCCATCCTCCTCCCGCTCCCTACCGCCAGTGTACGGGGGGGGGGGGGGGGGGGGGGGTGACCTGTGTTAGTCGCCGGGGGAAACCAACAAACCAGCCATTATGTATATCTTTTCGGCCTTGCGCGGTGTCACGGCCATGCCTGCAGCTTCATCAAAATTTAAGCGATTATTTTTTTTTTTTTCTTTCTAAGTGTGGGTGTGTTCTTTTTTTTTAAGTGTGGGTGTGTTCTTTTTTTTTAAGTGTGGGTGTGTTCTTTTTTTTAAGTGTGGGTGTGTGTGTTGTTTGTTTTTTTGTGTTGTG